AAAAAAAAAATCCATGGAACTTTTACAATCTCTTCAAGCTTTTCTTTCTTGCATCCATCTTCTTTTTGCCTGCAGGAGCTTTTGCCAGCCCAACTTCCTTCTTCTGTGTCAATGGAGCTGTCATTGATCCACCAACTCCGGTCTCAGACGTTGATGTTATGACTGCTGGCTGATCTTGACCATTTTCAAGTTTAGGGGCTAATGGAGATGCAGCACCCGGTACTGCATTCTTCTGGTCGGCACTCTTAACTGAGGAGTTTGTCTGATCAACATTTCGGGTAGTGGTTGATTCGGAAATAACTCCAGATTTGAACTTTGGCTTCGGCTTGAGAGCATGTATTCCAGTGTAAAGCCTGTCATCGTAAACCCAGGCAACATATTCAACTTATAAAGCAAAATTTTATAATACAAGGAACTCTGCATGTTCGAATCCAGTACTTGATGGGGCTAAACAGTATTCAAGACGAGATTTAGCCCCTCTTTGGGCTCCATTTTAATGTGGTTTTGGGTGAAAATGTATTTTGGAATGGTGATTTTTTGAAGAATGTGTAGTTATAAAAAATAAAAAAATAATAAAAAAAAGGGTTCACGTACAACATTATTTTATGGAAGAATGTGGTTGAAAATAAGTATTGAAAAAATGTATTTTGAAAATAATGGAGCCCAAACAGGGGCTTGGCTTCTTTTTTCTTTTCTTATGCTGTCCAGTACTTGGAATCCACCTTACAAATGAGCCATATGAGAATAAAACATCCAGAAAGGCAGCATCCCGGTCTAGGGATGGAACATAGTTTCTAATGAATAATTGTGAGACCTATAACTCACAATCACCTCAAGAACAAGTATTGACGAATCTCCCAAAAAATATCCACTATTATGCAGATTGCTATCTGACCACTATGTACAAGTAACACAAAAGGAAAAATTTGAAGTCAGACAATGTAAATTAGCTGGTCAAGATGCAGATCGAAATGTGAATATAGTAGGTCGCAAGCACTGTAAACCTTAGCTCCGGCTTAAACAGTTTCGAATCGCACTGAGTTCCTTCCAACTCATAACACAGAAATCAATTGCCCATTAGTAAAATATTCATGAAATAATTGAAATTGCTTATGATCATGCCCATACATGGGTGGGCAAACATGCATGGGTGAAAGATTAAAAAGAACTCTCTCAGAGTTCTATAGAATGTCCATTGTTATCATGAATCTTCAATATGAAGGCCATGCCTTCGAGCATAAATGACACCATAGAAGTCTATTTTGTTTCCAATAATTTCATCTTCCTACTTGTGTAAAGCCATGAAGAAGACAATGGAATATAACTAAGACGGCGTGTCTTACCTTGCATGTCTAGCATACTCCTCATAATTTTCAAGCAGCATCTTGCCAGCCTGCTCATTTAAAGCTGATTCCGGAAATGGTTCAATCAACAAGCATCTGATTACCTGTCATTCGAAAGAAGACAAAAAGGAAAATATTCACTTGAGAAGTTTTAGCTCCATTGATTTCTAAGTAAAGAAAACAATAATAAAATACTGTCCAACAGAACTTACAATTAAAACATGTCTCAGTCCAAGACTTGGGTTCCAATCTTTCTTCAATGCATTAACACAAATTTCACCATTGGTAGCAATGTTTGGATGAAAAATCTTAGTCAGGAAATAGCCTACAAAGGCAGCAAGTGGATCCTAACATGGTTATATGTCCATCACATATAATGTCGTAAAATTAAGACAAAGTAAATTGGCAGATATTTCTTTAACGTGTTCACACCCACATAATTTCACAAACCTTTGGGAGGGGATTGTGGGAAATCATTGGACAATGTCAACTTCATGCGGAAAATGCCATTCTCATATGGAGTCCCAGCTGCAAGGTTATAGATGATTAATCAGGGAAAAAATATTGATGACAAAAATGGAACAGACTGAATGCAAAAAGTTCATACCAGGGCCATCGATATCAGCATATATAATTGAAAAGTTATCATCGTTTACACCAACTTTAATGCCCTCAGGAGGTGCTTCATCAAGATTCTTCAATTCTTTTGCCAGCTGTTTTATTACATTTGGGGGAAGATTTTCATTGGTTGCCTAAAATAGTCAGCACAATAAAAAATATGAGAATAAGAAATCATGAAACAAATAACATAATCTATTAAAAAAAAAAAAAAAAAAAAAAA